TGCATTACAATTTTTATTACATATATAGAGCACTATTTTTCATATCTCTGGTTGTACACACAGTATATTCACACCAATTTGTGTCTTCCTACATGTACTTTGGATAATAATGATCATCGCATTACACCATCATTAATAACCCCATGCTCTCTCCCTTCCCCTTCAACCCCTCTGCCCTATCTAGAGTTCATCTATTCCTCTCATGCTCCCTCTTCCTATCCCATTATGAATCAACCTCCTTATATAAAAGAAAACATTTGGCATTTGTTTTTTTGGGATTGGCTAACTTCACTTAGCATTATCTTCTCTAACTCCATCCATTTGCCTGCAAATGCCATGATTTTATTCTCTTTCATTGCTGAGTAAAATTCTATTTTGTATATATGCCACATTTTTTTAATCCATCATCTATTGAAGGGTAGTGGGATGACTCTCATAAGAAGTAAAATTGCTTGTTTTCKTATCTATTTCTTCCAATAGACAGGAGATGATTAAGACATTGTACTAGACATTGTATTCAGAATATCTGTAAAGTCAGAATGCTTAGCCACCCCTCCTACCCCTTGTTCTAAGTCTTACGGATGAAACCCAGGGACTCATGCATGCCGGGCAAGAGTTCTACCACTGAGCTACATCCTAGCCATTTTTATTTTATTGAGACAGGATCTCACTCAATTGTCCAGTGGCCTCAAACTTGCAATCCTCCTGCCTCAGTCTCCCGAGTGCCTGGGATTAGGAATTATAGACCTATATCATCAGGCCCAGCTATGTGCTTATTATTTTGAAGTTTATAAACTGGAATTGGTTGTAATGAACAATAGATTCCAGGTTATAATATATAGAGACATATATTGCTTATATACTATTTTAATTTTTTTATACCAAATACAGATGATTAACTTTTAATCAGATAATTATCAGCATGAAGAATGATAATTTACTTTTAAAAAGTATTTCAGTAGACACTAGCATTGCTGTATGTATACACATGGACATATAACCAATGTGATCCTGCAATCTGTACACGTGGAAAAATGAGAATTCATATCTCATTTGAATCAAACTTATGATATGTCAAGATCATTGTATTGTCATGAGCAACTAATAAAAAAGTATTTCTTTAATATCTATAAAAATGCATATAAATGTAAAAATGCAGTAATTTATACATTGACTCAACATATTATTGATAACCTATGATGAATCAGAAACAATCCTAGACTGTTAGCATGCATCAATGAATAACACAGGCAAGTCTTTTAACTCTCTGCTATCATTATTCTTCATGTTATACTGATTATATAAATTAGATAATTATTATTATTGTTTGGAATTTTGTTGTTCTTGTTCTTGGTTAGGTTGGTTTGTTTTTCATCTGTTGCTGCCGTTAGTGCCCTCCCCCCCCCAGTGTTAGGATCCAACCCAGAGCCTCAYTTATCTCATGCATGCCTAGAAAAGGTCTTCTACTAAGCCACATCCCCAGTCCCTCTTACATTAGTATTTAATGAAGGGTATTTTTCTCTGAATACATCTTCTCTCCCATACATTATCTTGAATTGCCAAGGTTTTTTTTTTTTTAGTTTGTAAACCATTTTTACGATTACTCTTGGATTGTTTTATCTTAGACAAAAAAGACCAAAAAGTAAATAAGATAAAATAAAAAGAAGAAAAAGAAAAAATGAGGGAAAAAAGATAAGATGAAAGTTTATGTTCATAGAGTCATTGTGCAGAGAAAGTCTTTCCTTTGGGGGGTCTGAATTGATAGTAAGAAAAAGCTTCTTATTACTGCTTGAAAGGTGGTCTGTCATTACTGTTCTCTGGTTGTATTTAGTAAGCTGGTCCTTCTTCCTTGAGTCAATTTATCCATTGTCTTATTCCTAGTACTCATTGTAGGAGAGGAAAGGTCTTTTTTTTCCCCCTCGCCCATGACTAAATTTATGGCTGAGGCACCTGTAACAAAAGACTGATTAATAAAGGAAAATCACATACTTCCATTTAATATAAGTTTTATGTGTCAAAAGAGACTTCATAAGAAAAAGAAGATCCAAAGAAGCAAGGAAATCCTTGTATTTTTATGTTTATATTTGTTAAAGAGTAGACAGTCATTGGGAAATACAATTGGTGTCAAGGTCATAACTAAATTATGGAACCCTGGCATACTGAATATTTTAAGCGAGAGGGAAATCAAGAAAACTACAGAAGCAGGCAGGTCTTGCCTGCCTCCCCTCTCCTGGGTTACATAGAAAGTAAAATTCTCCCTTTTTTTCCTACCTGATGCAGCCCATAGATTCTAGACTATCACTTTCTGAACTTCTCCTTCCCCTTCTCCCCTGAAGACCCACAGTTGACAGTGACCTTCCCTATACCCAGAAGTAGACAATGTCATAAAAAGACAGAAAAAAATCTGAACAAACAGGAATTTCTGACCTCTCCTCAGTCTATTACCATTAGCTGCTACCCTCTTGCCTTTCAATCAAACTTCTGCATCACTATCCATAAAAACACAGTTTGCCTGTGTCTGTGGGTCTTCATTTTGGAAGGCTCTCCTGTCATTTAAAACTAGTATGTGGGCTGGGGATGTGGCTCAAGTGGTAGCGTGCTCACCTGGCATGTGTGCGGCCCGGGTTCGATCCTCAGCACCACATACAAAGATGTTGTGTCCGCTGAGAACTAAAAAATAAATATTAAAATTCTCTCACTCTTTTAAAAAAAAAAAAACTAGCATGCTTTTCTCTCATTTATTTTGTTGTAAAATGAATTTTTTGATGAGTGAAGAAAAGGTAATATTTTTTTCTCCCCCCACATTGGACAAACGGAACATGATCTAATGATAAAAAACTGGGAGGAGTACTTAGCAAGGACTGTTTGTTTAGAATCTCTTGGTGTTTCTGTCTTCAGAAATAAGGATGTTCCTTTCCTTTSGATTTTGGAAGAGTACCTGTCAAATTTTATGGTCCATATCAAGGAGAAGATCAAAACCAAGTTGAGAGTGATTGTCCTGCTTCTGCTGTTTTCTCAAATGCCAACAAGCCACATTTTGGAGTAGGATGTCCTGAATCACTCTGTCAAAGACTAGGTTACCGACTTGGACAATTGGTGAATATTGACTTACACACTGCTACTTTGCAACAGGTCTGTAAGAAGTTGGCAAGACTTCTGTGGTAGATTGGGCAAGGAGGAGAAATTCATTTATTTATTCTCCAATGAGCTCTCTCAGATTTTGATTAGAGTTTGACAGTGAGAACTACAGAGTCCTGGGTATATCATCTTCCCCCAAACCTCTGCATCAAGAGATGTGAACAGCTTTAGCATGACTTCCAGCCTTGTTCACAAGATGACTCCTTTCAGCTTTCTTGAGGAAGCTCTCTTTATGCTAAGGAGAATTTACTTTTCCTTCTATTTAAAATTTGGTGATAGACAGATAGCCCCTGAATCTATTCTTATGACAGTTATTTTAGAAGACTTGCAATACTAAATTTGTTTTCTGCCCTTTCTGATGTAAATCTACCACACAGAACAGTATTTTCAAGCATCCGTTTCTTTGAAATGTATTCAGTATTCAGGAAGATAATTCTTACTCTCTCTCCCAGTCACTCTGGGAGAATAAGGGCCAATTTAGATGGTGGGCACATTGCTTCAACTTGCACCACTACCTCATATCATAAAGACAGAAGAGACTTTTTTTCTCCTCTGAATAAATGTTAATTAACAAACCCTAGTCACACTGAGTTTCACCCCAATGCCTTTTCCTTAGTACACTTAAGTCATTCAAAAGTCTTCAGATTTATTTTGGGGAAGTTCAGTTCAGTTCCCTCTTCCTWGATGAGATAGTATTACTGAAATCTGTCCTCATCACTCTAAAGTCTGGCTTTGTTGATCTGTAGTCAACTGTCTGTCCCCTACATTTTGCTCATTTCAGTCTGGTGCGTGGGTTGGGTGCTTAAGTTGGCAGCAATGATGAATGTGTTCATTTGATTGATTTTGAGAATTACGATGGAAATTTGGAAAGGGAAAAAACATAGAAAATTATGATAATATTTCAATCCCAGAATGCTCCATAAGCAATTACTGGGCAATATTAATGTACTGAATGAGGAAAGAAGGTAGTGCAGGATAGCCAACAAGATCATGAGTTTTGCAGCAAAAGCATCTGGTTCAAGTCTTTGCTCAAATTTTTAAAATTAGCTTCTTAAGCCCCAGCAAAGGACTACATTTTCAATGTCTCATTTTCTTCCTTTGAAAATAGGAATGATAATACTACATAGGGTTTTTGGAATGCTAAGATTGAATAGGAAAGCATATGTGATATTCAGTACTTAGAACATAGTCAGTGCTCACTGAATATTTACTGCTTTGTATTTTTCATCTCTGATGAATCCCAAAGAGAACTCTCTCCTCTCTTGTTACAATAATGCACCTCCCCATGGCATCATTCTTATCCTTATCTATACGTTTTCTCCACTAGGCAATGAACTTCTTCACCATTTTTCCTTTGATCTCCAGCTCCTGCTGAATGGAACCTTGAACATTTAATAAGTGTTTGCTGGGTGAAAAAATACATGGATATGTGCACATATGTACATTTATAACAAAATGATAGTAAATCCAAGGTATCAAATTATTTAATAGTTTACATAGGCCAAGTCAATTAAGGGCATCAAATTCAGTTTTGAGAATCATGAAGGTGGCATAAGCCTTCATGCATTTGTCTTGTGCTTGATCTGAAACAAGGACATAGCTATTACGTGGCTTTTTAATTTCATTGAAGTTTTTAGACCCAGAAATAAAATTTAAAGGTAAAAACGGGAAATTACTACAGCAGAATTTTCATTTCCTGCTTTTGGGTATGTGGAGGAGTAAATCTCAACTTGTTAAACCTCAATAATGCTTACACCACATGATTTGACTTATAGATCCTCTTTTGCCCATGGACAGTCATTTGGAGAGGCAAAAGGAAATAACTATCTAATGCAGTGTCTTTTTAGAGAACATATAAAACAATGGAATTTCGCTCTGATTTAGAAAATTTGGATGAAGATGGGTATACTCAATTAGACTTCACCTCTAGAGGCATCACCAGAAGACCTGTGAAAGGTATTTTAGGTATTTTTTTTTCCTTTTGACTTTAGTACTCTCATTCTCATAGACTAAAATACTAAAAGTAGGGAAAATTTGAGACTCATTGATATGTTTTTAAAGATTTTTAAAAGTCACTGCAAATAACTTGAAAATTCATTAAGGTTCTTTCATGGTAGGTATTCAGGGATTAATTCTTATATCTAAATTAATTTGTTTGATGGAAGAAAATGAAATTTGTTTGTTCTAAACAAAAGACATTTCATCACTGGGGAGTTGAAAGTTAAGTGTGAAGCTATACAAAGCTGAAGGATTTCAATAGATTTACTTGTTCCTGGTTTGATAGAAAAGAATCAATTGTAGGAGGGAGGTCCAGGAATCCTAAAGAAATGCTTATGAACAACATCAGAAAATAGGAGACTAGAAAGAGAAGAATGGAAAGATAGGAGACACATGACAAAACTAAAACTCTTACAATTTTATGGTGAAGACCAGAGGGAAGTTGGAAGTTGTAGGGTTTGAAATTTCAAAACTGATTTTTTTTTTCTGTGATAAGAGATCGAAGGGAGTTCTTGGAATATCAGGGAAGGAAAACATATATTAGATAAAAAGCTCCTATGGACATGAATCTAAACAAAAATGCAAATGAAAGGAAATATTGAGAAGGACATTAAAGGATCTGTCTTTTTACAAAATGAGTGGCTTTAGTTCCCTAATGAGTCTCCTGTTTGACAATTCTATGAGTTGCTCTTACCAGTGAGAAGCAGAGAGATGTTTTTGGTGTGTTGATGTTGATACAAAATCAGTTCCCTGTTATCTTCAAGAAAGACAATTCATGGGTTTTGACATCAGATTTTGTTTTCTTCTGCTTTCTGGTATTCACACTGGTCAGCTATTTTCCTCTCATCGCCACTTATGAAATTCTTTTTTATGCAACTTGTGACAAAGAGCAGAAAATTTGGATGAGGGAAGAGATAGTTAGGCAATATGTTTATGCTTGTATGTGGACAAATAACAAGAGACCTGTATGTGCTTGCTAAAGGAAGTGCTTCTACATATTTTAGGTCATTTATTTCCCACAAGAATCCTGTGAGGTATTATTATCCCAATTTCAAAGATAAATGAAAAATAAAAGGGAAATAATATGCCTAAGTCATTCATCAAATAAATGAGAAAGAAAGTTATCCTTGGTAATCAGGGCTAGGTTCCGTATATTAAGCTGTTTCCTCTAAGAATGAGTGGGATTTCAGGGACCTGAGCAGTATCAAGACCTATGGACAGTTTCAGTTCCAACAACTGAAGAAGTATCCTAAAGATGGGGACAAATGGAAACTCACTCTAAATGTCTAGATTATRTAGGCATCAGTTAATAAATGATTCTCTTACGAATTGGCCAGGAGTTTAATGAACTGTGGGATTAAAGCATTCTGTCCTCCATCATACTCTTCATTCAATTTCTGCTCCCTCTGGCTCCTTAGGTGATCAGAAGGCTTCTCCTCCTTGGCGGCTGATTGCTATGACAATCAGTGTTATCTGCTTGATAACACTGGTGATAGCTGTAGTCCTGGGTGTCCTGGGTGAGTACTAGGTCGTGAGGTTTGCAATAGTCACAGGCAGTATTTAATGTGTGCTAGGCATTCTTTTAATGACTTGGCTTATACGATCTAATTTATTCTGCACATCGACCATATTGAGTTGTTGCTATTAATTCCCATTTCACTTATAAGGAAGTAAGAGAATGGGAGATTATTTTACTTTTACAGGATCGTAAGTTAGTTAGTTTGTGGGGTGTTGATTAGAAATTTAGAAGTTCTGTCTAAAAAAAAAATGCATAGTCTTAACTACATTGCTTTACTATCACCCTGGAATAGCTGGTTTGAAAACTGTGAAATTTGAAGGACAAATTTAATGGAAGGAAATCTGTGGAGCTGGAGAATAAAATACAATATGATTTTCTTTCTTTTTTTTTAATTGAATACATTTTTATTGAGCACCCACTATATATACCAGACACTGATCCAGTCACTGGTGATAACAGAAGACAAAACAGACAAAAACCCTGCCCTCATAGAGCTCCTAGACTTTACATTCCAGTGAAATCAAGATGGGAAAACTAATCCTGTCTGGGTGTAATGGAACACACCTGTAGTTCCAACACTTGGGAGGCTGAGAAGGAAGAATCCCTTGAGTCCAGGAGTTTAAGACCAATCTGGCCAACATTGAAAAAAAAAAGTTAATCTGTGGAGAAAATGACCAAGTTATTGGCCAAAGAACAATTATTCTAAAGAATAAATTCTTTTAAATTCAAACGGATTTCCTATTGTTCTTTCTAATGAAAAAAATTCACTAAAGGGATTATATGCTATTTTAATGAGTCTCATGATTGATGGGACTTGTTTTATATCTGATCATTAATATAAACTCCTTTGAATGTACCAGGAATTGCCTGAGGCACTTAATGCATTCTAAGTAGATACCTAGTGATGGATGAATAGATTTTCTTAGATTTTATATCTCAGGAATTCTGTTACCAATAAAGTATTATTATTCCTTCAGAGAGTCTTCATGGTGTTTCTTAATTAGTCAATTCTACTGAGAACATTTTATGTTATAGGTGCTGAGCACGTTCTCCAGGAGCTCTCATTTATCCGTAATAGAAAAAAAATAGAAGATTTACTACTGTTTCAAATCTCTCATGGTTTTAGTTGACACTATGTAATTTGCCTCTAGCTGATCTGTCATCTCTTTCCTCTGCATCTGTTTCATTTTTCTTTCTCACTTCTTCTTTATAGAAGTTATTTGTTTTTTTCCTATTTCATCTATCAATCAAATATATCACTTTACCATTCCACTAACAATAAAGCATCTATTTGTCATCAAAGATCTATCCCTTTATATTCCAATAAAATTTGAGTTTCAGAATTTTAATTTTCAAACATAGCAGAATAACTTGTTTTTTTTTTCTGTTACTATTATTGTTCTTGGAATATAAAGCATTTAGGAGATCCAATTCAGGCAGCGACCCATTGGAAAAAGAGAACTTTACATTAAGAAATAAAGAGAATCACAGTCAACCCACAAAATCATCTTTAGAAGAGAATGTGGCTCCTACCAAGACTCTCAAAACCACAGGCAAGGGCAGAGTTAAAGCTTTAATGAAATCCTTGATTCAAGATGGTTAATTTTTTGGTGCTAAGCCTGGGGTAGGTGGAAGATGAGATAGTACTGATCAGTACTATCTCAGTATAATGAATCACTGTCAGATCTATAATAAAGCAATGAAGTTATTTCATTAATACCCATTTGTATGAACACTTCCATGTTGAACTTTTTTTTTWAAATCAGTAACTGATTTATCACTGGCTATATGTTTAGACCTTCAGAAGATTGTATAATTGATGTGAAAGAAAAAATATGTACGCTCCTCCTTAGGGAAATGATATATTTAAAGTGATACCATTAAAAGAGGAAATAGGATATCAGGACAGAAGAATGGCAAGGAAAAGTAAAAGAGCAAAAATGTTGGCAAGAAATAAGGCACTACGTTAAAAAATACAAAAGTATTAGCACTAATAATATATTCCTGAAAACTGATTAAATGTGTTTGCCTTTAACCATATGACTTCATTACAATTTTATACATAGATGCCCTTTATTTTTAATTGCATCATCATCGACGATGAGTATATTTTCAGTTCAATTTCCAATCTCTGGACTCATACTTCCTGACTCTCTTATCAAACAGTTGATAATACACAATGTAGATACTCTGAAATGTAAATAATTGCCCTTATGCTTTTCCACTTTGGAAAGCAACAATTTAAAATGGGTTTCACATCATAAAATAACTTAAATCACATGAAATTACTATGAATCCTAGTGATTGACTTTGAGTGCATTTATTATAGGGGGGTTGAAATAGAGAAAGGGAGTTCTGGGCTAAATTTGAATTAAAAGAAGACAAAAGGAAAGGATGGTTAGCTCTCTAAAACAGTGTATATAGTTTTTCAGATAATTTCTAAATTTTAAATGAATGAGAGGATTTGAATGTATTCTATAAAATCATATCCTTATAGGTTTGAATTGAAAATGAAAGATATTAATGGCAATTCATTGATTAAGTATTCATGAGATAAATTGTGTTTGCATTAGAAAAAGGAGTTGGTGTATTATGAGCTTCATGGTACTTACTATCTCTTATTTTCAGGACTCTTTTCTAGCCCATGTCCCCCTGAGTGGATCATACATGAGAAGAGCTGTTATCTATTTAGAATGTCACTAGATTCCTGGCAAAGAAGTAAGATCCGATGCTCTCAGCTGGGCTCTCATCTCCTGAAGATAGACAGCTCAAGTGAATTGGTAAGTGTAGACTTCAGCTGTAATTATCAGTAGTCTTTATGAAACATGAAAACGAGAGAGAATCCAGGTAATAATTCTTTTTCTTATGTGAAACTTACTTTCAGAATTCTTCATAGTTGTAATATTAGCATTCATTAAGCATGTAAATTACATATCATATGCTTTTAAAAAATTAATTACTATAAAACAATCATGTTTCACTTTAAAATAAATCTTTTCAAATACATTCCATGTTTTAATTACTACAACAATCAGTCCTCTATTAATTTTCGTGGGTTTGTATTTCAATTTCTAAATTTAGTGGATGAAAACAGAAAAATTTCCCCATCATCATGATTTTCAAGGAAAATAGCAACAATGATAATATATATTTATAAATCATCTGCTCTTTGCAATATACTAGAAAAGGCAAAAGAGTTTAAAAAGTAATACATGTGTATTACTGAGCTTATTTAATTCATTAAGAAAAAAACAATAGTTGTTAAGAAATCAATATCTGATATCCATAATAAATAATATAGGAGTTTAGAGATATCTTTGTACACATAAGAGATTTTAAAGTAAAAGGGAGACAATCTGTCATGAATGAAAGGTAGAACTCAGATGAGTTATGAAAAGGAATTAATAGGAAACTTTCTACCTTATAAATCTAAAGTTATCCATAACCTCTACACCTATTTTCACTATTTTCCATTTTTTTTGTTTCTGTAATGCCAATCCCAATAGTTGCTAATGAAAGTAGGTACATGGTAAAGTAAGAGCATTGTACTATAAATCTCTGTGGGTATTAGCTCAATCTGTAATTGATGATAAATCATCTTGTATTTATCAGCAATTCATATATTTTCAGTGAACCACAGATTATTTATTCATAAAATCTGAAATGGCACTAAATTAATTTCAAGGCATTATCCAATTCCGAGAAGCATTTCTTTTTTCCCTTTTAAATTAATGTTTATGATTCTAATTGTTAACACATATTAATTATCAAAATTAATGTATTCACTGTGATACTTCCATTTATGGATATGTTGTGATTGATCATTTTCATCCATCATCCTCTTACCCTTGCCATTCTCAGTAATCCCTCTTGTGCTCACAGTCCTTCTTTTCTGTTGGTGTTTCTGTGCATGAGAGGGAATGGACAATATTTGTTTTTCTGTTTGATTTATCCTGCTTAGTATGATGTCTTTTATTTCCTTCCACATGTTGCAAATGACAGGATTTCATTCTTCTTTATAGTTGACTGATACTCCATTGTATATCTATACCATATGTTTTTATCCATTCATCTGTTGATGGGACCTAGGCTAATTCTATATCTTATATAATTGATTATAATTATACCTTATAATCATATATCTTATGAATAATTCTGCAATAAACATGGACATGTAGGTATTTCCTTTGTAAGCTGATTTCATTTCCTTCAGCTATACACCCAGGAGCGGAATAGCTGTTTAATACAGAAGTTTTATTTTTAGCTTTTTGAGGACTCTTCATACTGTTTTTCATAGAAGCTGTAGTAATTTGCATTCCTACCAATAGTGTATAAGGGTTCCTTTTTTCCTATCACTCATCATTACTTGTTATTTTTATTTTTCGATAATAGCCATTCTTACTGGGGTGAGATGTGTCCTTTATAGCCTTTGATTTGCATATCCTGGATGGCTAATGATATTAAGCCTTTTTTTCATATAGTTTGAAGTAATTTGTATTTCTTTTGAGAAGTTTTTGTTCAGATTATCTGTCCAATTTTAAAATAGATAACTTGATTTTTGTTAAGTTTTTGAGTTCTTTGTATATTCCAGATAACCCTCTGTCACATGAATCCATGACAAATATTTTCTCCCATTGTGTAGTCTGTCTCTTAACTATGGATAGTTTTTTGTTGTTGTTGTTGTTGATGTTGTTGTTTTGTTTGTTTTTTTAATTGGCTGTGCAGAAGACTTTTTAGTTGAATGTCATTTTATTTATCACTTTTTTTGCTTTTGTTTTCTGAGCTTTTGGAGTCCTATGTAGAATATCACTACCGCTACTGATATCTTGAAGTAGTTCCTCCATGTTTTCTTCTGGAAGTTTCAGGTCTTACAGTAAGGTCTTTGATCCATTCTGAGTTGATTTTTGTACAGGGTAGAGATAGGGGTTTAGTTTCAATCTTTCACATGTGGATATCCAGTTTTCCCAGTATTGTGTATTAAAGAGGCTGTACTTTCTCCATAGTGTTTCTGGCACTTTTGATGGGAATTAGTGTTTTAGTCAGCTTTCTGCTGTTTTGACTATAGAACCTGACCTGAACAATTTTAAAGGAGGAAAAGTTTATTTAGGTGCTCATGGTTTTAGAGGTCTTAGTCCATGGAGGGCCAGCTTCATTCCTTGAGACTCATGGCAGAAGAGTATGGCAGAGGAAAGCAGCTTACCATCAGAAGCAGATAGAGAGACTCTACTCTCCAGTTACAAAATATATACTCAAAATATATGCCATGCCCCCAGTGACCCATCTCCTCCAGCCATACCCTACCTGCCTTCAGTTACCACTCAATTTATCCCATCAGGGATTAGACCAATGCTATAATCCAATCAATTTTCTCCAAACCTTCTTGTGTTGTCTAACACACGAACTCTGGGGGACACTTCACATCCAAACTGTAACATTTGGCTGTAGGTATGTGGATTAATTTCTGGTGCCATAGYATGCTGCTGTTTTTACTGACTCTGTGGTCTGTCCTGCAATCAGATGTTATAATGCCTCTAGCTTCTTTCCTTATAATCAAGATTGCTTTGGATATGTGGGAGATTTTTTTTTTTGCTTCAATATAAATTTTGGAATTTTTTTCTCTAGTTCTGTGAAGAATGTCATTGATAGTTTGATKGATAGTGCACTGAATCTGTAGATTGCTTTCAGTGTTTGACCATTTTGACAATAATAATTCCTCCAATCTATGAACATGAAGTGTCTTTACATTTTTTAGTGTTTTCTTTGATTTCATTCTTAAGTATTTTTTAATTTTCATCATAGTCATCTTTCACTCCTTAGTTAAACTTATTTCTAGGTATTTAGTTTTTGTATGAGAACCATGAATGGAATTTCATGACAATTTTCATAGCAAATTCATTATTGGCATATAGAAAAGCTATTGATTTTTTGTAAGTTGATTTTGTATTCTGCTACCTTATTGAATTCATTTATCTGAGTCTTTTGGGGGAGTCTAGGTTTTTCTGTGTACAGAAATCATATCATCTGCAAACAGGGATTATTTGACTTTCTCCTTTCCTTTGTATGTATTTTCTCTTTTTCTTTTTTTTCTCATTGTTCTGGCTTCAATTTCTAGTACTATAYTGAGTAAGAGTGGTCAAGGTGGACTATCCCCTCCTGTTCCTGATCTTAGAGGAAATGCTTTGAGGTTCTCCTCATTCAATATCGTATTGGCTATGTGTTTGTTATGTATAGACTTTATGCCACGGAGGTATGATCTTCCAGTATCTCATGTGTTTAGGTCTTTTATCCTTAAGAAATGTTGAATTTTATCAAATGCTTTTTCAAAATCCACAGTAGTAATCATGGTTTTTATTTTGAATTATTTTTATGTGATATATTACATTTATTTATTTGTATGTGGTGAACCATGCTTGCATCCCAGGAATGAAACTAACTTGATCATGGTGAATGATCTTTTTGATATTCAGTTGAATTCAATCCTGTAGTATTTTGTTGAGAATTTTTTCATGTGTGTTCATCAGCGATATTGGTCTAGATTTGTGTGTGTGTGTGTCTGTGTGTGTGTGTGTGTGTGTGTGTGTGTGACATTGTTAGATTTTAGCCTCTTTAGGGTGAGTTTGGAAGTGTTCTCTTCCTTTTAATTCTATGGAATAGTTTTAAAAGCATTAGTGTTATTCTTTAAAAGTGTGGTTACACTGGGCAAAGCAGAACATGCCTGTAATTCCAGTGACTCAGGAAACTGAGGCAGGAGGATTGCAAGTTTGAAGCCAACTTGGGTCACTTAGTAAGATCCTGCCTCAAAAAAAAAAAAAAAAAAGACAGGTGATGTAGTTTAGTGGTAGAGTGCCCCTGGATTGAGTCCTCATTACTGCTAAATAAATATATTAAGTAAGTAAGTTTGGTCAAATTTAGCAGTAAAGACATCCAGTCCTGAGCTTTTATTTGTAGGTAGACTTCTTATTATGCTTATTATGTTGTCGATGGTCTATTCAGATTTTCTATGTTTTGGATTCAATTTTGGTAGGCCACCAATGTCCATAAATTTATTCTAGACTTTCCAATTTGTTAGCATGTAGCTTTTCAAAATAATCTCTAATGATTCTTTGAATTTCTGTAGTATCAGATGTAAAGTCTCCTTTGAAATCTCAAATTTTATTTTATTTATCTGGGTCTTCTGAGAAGCATTTCTTGACAAGATTAGTATCAATTTATGGAAATAATAGGGTCATATCTACCATGAAAATTGCCTACTAAACTTATCATTCTTGGATAAGCTTTGCCTAGTATATTGAATGGATGCAGTTTTCATTGACATTTTGAATCTATTATTTATTGAAATCATGAAGGATGAATGTATTTTTATGGGAAATTAAATGTTAAAGTGACTCTAGATAAACTAAACACTTTGAGATGTTCAATGAAATAAAAATATTGGAATTTCTCTCTAGGTCCTTGTCATCTTATGCATGCATTCTTCACCAAAGGGATTCAATCAGTTCTTTTTTTCCCCCCAAAATCTATATTTTCTCTTTCTGTATATTTGCATTTCTGTTTCATTCCAGGATTTTATAGAAAGCCAAGTGTCTTCCCAACCTGCTCATGCATTTTGGATAGGGCTCTCTCGCCATCAGAGTGAAGAACCATGGCGCTGGGAGGATGGATCCACCTTCTCTTCTAATTTGTAAGTATCTGAAAAGAAAAGGCATCATCCACTTTCTCACAGAGATGAAAGTAAGTCATGCAGTTAACCTGATTTACCGGGGCCATGTTTTATAAAGAGAAAGGATCACAATGGTGGGGGGAGTGAAAAAGTGAGCCAGAAGAGACAGGAAGAAAAGAGGACTGCAGAATCAAAAAAATAGTTGTTTGGCGCTACCAACTCAGGTGTTTCCTTGGCTTCTCTAGGTAGAGGGTATTCCTTACATTTGTTTTAATTATGTCATTGTATTGTACTTTACCAGGTTTCAAATCAGAAGCACAGCTACCCARGAAAATTTACTTCACAATTGTGGATGGATTCATGTGTCCACTGTTTATGACCAATACTGTTATGTGACCTCATTCAGTATCTGTGAGAAGAAGCTGTCGGAGTAAGGGGGTGGAGAAGTAATCAAAGGAGATAAGTGTATGAAACTGAATGGATGGCAAAAACAGAAGAGTGATATTTGAGGTATAAATAGATGCTGAAAATGTTAAAAGTGCATGGCAAACTTAAATCTCAGCTGAGAAATAGGATATAGAGGCTGTGATTTCTGTACTTGTCAGCTCCATAGGGAGGCCAATCTTATGCTAGTGAACACAGTCCTACTCATGGAGTCAGGGCAGCTAAGCTTGAATTTTTGTTCTACCATTGCTAAGCCACAAGTCCTTGGTGATTTCAAAGAAAT